CTGCCCACCTACACTCCTAATTGGACAACTACAAAGGCTCTATCTGTAAAGGAAATTGAGTGATTAAAGTCTAGTTAATGATATGTGTACTGCTTGAGACCGTCACTTCGATGGCTTTCCAAGATTATGAGCAACTATTGATAGAGATAATTACTTGCACGGTGATGTATCTGCAGCTATAAGAGTTCCTCACACGTGAAGTTAAAAAATGACCTGTATTTTCACGGACATTTCTTTTTGATGCCAACCTTTAAGTTTCACGAAATTCCAAATTCCTAACTTTACCCTACGTCTGTCCTTCACAATGTTTCCTAGACTGTTTAGTTTTACTTCGCTGGACACTTTGAGCTATTTTACCAGAAAAGGTACTTAGAGCCAGGACACAAAACTCATTTAAGAAAAGCTGGATGGAAAAGGGTAGAATTGGTAAATTGCTATTCTGGATGGATTCGATTAAATGGGGTGGAAGTGCCTTATTCATCGGAACCTCTCTTATCTTGCAGTAAACACAAAACCTTATTCGTTTCTAAATATTTGACATTAAATACCCTGAATGTATCATGGATAAAGCATGATTCTGGATATAATGTTTCTCTTTTCAAAAACTCTTCTTTTATAATAATCCCTACAAAAAAAACAAAATAATTTGGTCATTCAATTCACGACTGTTTGTGGGACACTGTTGTGCGCAATTGGATGCCACATTTCACCCACAGAAAAATACAGTCAATCCACTTGACAGTATATCCTGTGAAGCACTTTTGAGACGTCAAATGCAAGGATTATTATTATATTAGATTCTTCACTGCCAATATTTTCACCTATCTAGAACAAAGAAAAGCACCTGTGATATTAATCAGAAACTGCTTAAATGTGTTGCTTTACATGCAATTGATCCTGCTTGCATTACACAGCATCAATCCTGTCCAGTGAATCCTTAGATTTTTTTAGAGATGGAAACTTATCAGGAAATTCAAAAGTTTTATACGAAAGTTAATTTCGAATAATCATTCTGGCCTGCTGTTTCTACTTTGCTCAAAGGTTTCCTGTACAAACCGACTGTGTTATCGCTTTAGTCACATGCAGGTTCTCAGATCTTCCTGTCAAGGACTACTGCAAAAACTGCAGCAGTGTACAGGAGGAGGAAAATTTAGCAATCATTAACTTAGGACATCAGCTGAATAAATAACAATAATAATAATCCTTGCTTTTGATACAACGTCTTCTCACATTGTTGAGGTGTCTCAAAGTGCTTCCCAGGATATACTGTAAAGTGAATTGTTTGTATATTTTGTGAGCGAATGGACTCAAGCCTATGGAGGAACCCAGCTTATCAACGCTGTGGATGTCAATTTAATAGACTAAAAATATGCTTTTTGATGGGTATGCTAAGCAAGTGATAATTTCATTGCAAAGTTGTTGATCTGGTATATTTTACTGACACATGTTTATGCTTTGGATTTTCTAATGCAAATAACATCACATTAATGGAAAACATAGTGCTATCCTGGCCACAGCAATCCTCCAGATAAATTGGGATCTGCTGTGCACAAATTGGCTGCTACGTTTGCCTACAAATACACAATTTTGACACCATAAACTCTTTGAGATGTTTCACTGTTATAGACTTTGATAATTTTTAAAATAACTTACAGAAAGATAGCTTCAAAATTACAACAACAACAACAAGATTCCATTTATAGAGCGCCTTTCACGTCAGGAGGACGTCCCAAGGCGCTGCACAGTTGGGTCATGACCCGAGCAGGGGGGAAATGGTCAGGGTGAGGGGAGGGAAGGGAGGGAGCGAGGAGGGGAAGAGAGTCGAGAGGGGAGCTGAAGGCACGGTCAAAGAGAAAGGTTTTGAGACCGGCCTTGAAGGAGGAAAGGGAGGAAGCGGCGAAGGCACTGGGGGATGGAGTTCCAGAGCCTCGGGGCTGAGAGGCTGAAGGCCCGACCACCGATAGTAGGGCGGTTGGGGCGGGGGACGTGGAGCAGACCGGAGCCAGAGGAACGGAGGGTACGGGCAGGTAGGTAGGGGGATAGTAGGTTGGAGAGGTAGGAGGGAGCAAGGCCGTGAATGGCCTTGTAGGTGAGGATGAGGATCTTGAAATCAATCCTCTGGGGGATGGGGAGCCAGTGGAGGCGAGCGAGGGTAGGAGTGATGTGGTCCCGAAGCCTGGTGCGGGACAGTACACGAGCTGCAGAGTTCTGAATGACCTGCAGCTTGTGGAGGGAGGTGGCGGGAAGGCCGGCGAGGAGAGAGTTCCCATAGTCCAGCCTTGAGGTGACAAAGGCGTGAACCAGGGTTTCAGCAGCGTGAGGGGTGAGGTAGTGCCGTAATCTGGCGATATTCCGGAGGTGATGGAAGGCGGTGCCAGTTGTGGTGCGGATGTGAGGGAGAAAGGACAGCTCAGGGTCGAACAAAACGCCGAGGTTCCTGACTGGCTTTGAGAGGTGGAGAGTGCAGCCTTGGATGCTGATGGTGTCAGCGCCTGAGGTGCGGAGGCGCTGACGTGAGCCAATCAGGAGGGCCTCGGTTTTTCGCACGTTGAGCTGAAGAAAGTTGTCTCTCGTCCAGGACTCGATGTCGGACAGGCAGGCTGTCAGGACATCGGTGGTCGTGGAGTTGAGAGTAGAGGAGGAAAGGTAGAGTTGGGTGTCATCCGCATACATGTGGAAGTTAACCCCATGTTTGCGGATGATGTCACCGAGGGGGAGCATATAGAGGGTGAAGAGGAGGGGACCGAGGACAGAGCCCTGAGGGACACCACATGAGACAGTACGGGGGGTGGAGGAGAAGCCATTCGTTGAGACGAAGTGAAGACGGTGGGAAAGGTAAGAGCTAAACCATTCAAGGACAGTGCCTTGAAGGTTGAGGTGGGAGGACAAGCGGTGGAGTAGGATAGCGTGGTCGACCGTATCGAATGCTGCCGATAGGTCGAGGAGGACGAGGAGACAGAGGGAGCCCTGGTCACAGATAGTCAGGATATCATTGGTGACCTTGACCAGGGCAGTTTCTGTGCTATGAGCAGCACGGAAACCTGACTGAAGGGGTTCAAAAAGAGAATGGGTGGAGAGGAAAGAGCGCAGTTGGGAGGCGACAACTCTTTCCAAGACCTTGGAGAGAAAGGGGAGGTTGGAGATGGGCCGGTAGCTTGATAGCTGCGACGCATCAAGGGAGGGTTTTTTCAGGGTGGGCGTGATGATGGCAGTTTTTAATGGAATGGGGACAGAGCCAGAGGAGAGGGACAGGTTTATGATGTCAGTGATGTGTGGGGCAAGAAAATGGAGCTGGGAGATAAGGAGTGGAGTGGGGATGGGGTCAAGGGAGCAGGTGGTTGGTTTTAGGGATAGGATGAGTTCAGTGACAGAGGGTGGGGAAACGGGTACGAAGGTGTGTAGGGGAGGATGGGTAGGAGTCGGAGTGTGGGAGGGAAGGGGTGGGTGGTGGGTGGAAGTTGGAGGGGAAGTGACCGCGGAGCGGATTCCCTTGATCTTGGATTCAAGGAAATCCAGCATCTCCTCGCAGTGAAGGTTGGAGGAGATGACCTGCGCGGGGTGGCGGGGGGGACGGAGGAGTCGGGATGTGGTGGAAAACATTAGCCTGGGGTTGTTCTTCGCCTCCAGGATTATCCTGGAGTAGAAAGACGACTTGGCCGAGGCTAGAGTGGAGCGGTAAATTTTGAGGAGGTCCAGCCAGATTTGTCGGTGGACCGTTAAGCCGGATTTGACAAAGGTGCGCTCAGCAGCCCGCACCTGGCATTTCAGCCTTAAATAAGGCTGTATTTCATGCATTTCATTTCAGCCTTAAATAAGGCTGTATTTAAGAAATTGACAAATTCTGGATGTTCTGAAATGTTAATAGAGTAAATATACACCCAGGTGAAATTTCTCCCATGAGCACACTCACCATTAATGTTGAAAATAAGACAAGTCAAGCAGAAGTATTCAAATTTGTTTCTGCATCAAACTTGGCTTTTATAAAGCATGAAACTGAGGAGACTGAGAGGTTCCGCAGTTTATGTGTGGATTTAAGTTCAGAATAAAACCACTTTGTTGTGGATAAAAGTGTGCTTAAGTCATTAGATAAAGAAAGATAATATTAAAAGGATCTTACACGACATCCCATAAGGTTTTGCTATTTAATCGCATACTGTAGCAGAAGGGTGAATGTGCCTCAAAAAAATGCAACAGAAATAATTGTGTTCTTTTGCTCTTGAAAGTAATCATAGAATATTTGATCTCTGATTTCAAAGTTAATCGGTGGCTTGCAGTAATTACTGCTGCTCCTTGGATCCACAGACTCGCTCTTTCCTGTTCCCCTCCTGACAAAACAACTTCAGTATTTCCTGATCTGAGTAAAGTACCATCTGAGCAACACAGGGACGAGCCACTCAGTTGTAAAATTCTTACTGTTTTATTATTTCTGAAATGCAATTGAAGCTTTAAAACAATAATCTTTGCTATCTGCAATAGCATCTTATCATATGTCAAGATGTCTCAAGTGCTTCACAGGATATACTGTAAAGTGGATTGACTGTTTTTAATAGGAGAAATGTGGCAGCAAATTTGTGCAAAGCAATAATAATAAAAATCCTTGCATTTGATATAGGGCCTTATCAGCTCTTTGAGACGTCTCAAAGCGCTTCACTGAATATACTGTAAAGTGAATTGACTGAATATTTTTGTGGGAGAAACACGGCAGCCAATTGCACACAGCAGCGTCCCACAAACAGTTATGGATTGAGCCATTTTGTTGTGTGTAAAAACAGCCATGAAGCGAATGACCAATTTTTATCTGAGGGATTGTTGGCCATGGAACCGGGAGAAACTCCCTCTCTTTTCGAATAGTGTAGCGTCAGGCACGGTTTAAAGTCTCATCTGAAAGACGACACCTCTGACAATTCAACCCTCCCCTACCACTGCACTGGACTGACAGCCCAGACTTAACTGGCAGAAAAGAACGAGTTAAAAATAAATGAAGATATTTCAAAGCTTACTTTTGTAGGTGTTTAAAGAGAACCTTCATGGTGTCATGATTAGCTTGAGGAAGTTTCGCCACCAGTCTCTTCACCAACTGAATACGCTGACTGTAATCCTGGATTTCTGTGGGAGAGAAATGGTTGGTTACTATTATCAGTAGTTCCCTTGTGACACATTTATTGTGTCTGATATATGTGTCACAGTGACAGTTGAGCGAAGATGCTACAACTAAGAGGAAAGCTGGATGTACCACAGATTCTTTTAACTAAACAATTGTTCTCTTAATATTAGACACACATGTGACAGTGATGGAAAACATGGCATGCTAAATCCAACCAGCTAAGACTCAGACAGTTGTTTATCAGCATGTTCCAAAGTTAAAGAACTAGAATATTTGATTAGGAAGAAAAAAATCTACAAGACCTTGAAGTTTGAAAGTGAGGAAAATATACAAGAAACCAGGTCACCTTTTAAAACAAACAAGTATAACGTTTCTACCAAATTGTCATTGTCCACCTCGTCGTAGCCTCTGAAACAATTTTTTTTCTTACAATTTAAAATTGCAAAGAATAGTGGAAAATTCTTAAGTCGAATCTAATTTGGTAGCTGGTTATTTTTGAGAACCGAGGATAAAATTCAGTCAAAAGTTTATAATATTGCGTAATCCTTTGCGATCTTACATTTTAAGACAAAGTGGTCTTACAGGCTAAAACATGGTGGATTTTCAGGATTTCTGATACCGTCAGGAATTATTACAGAATGGGCAGAAAACAATGGTAGGAATGAATGGTAATTGAGAAGCAGAGAGATGCTTGAATATGTTAGGAAAGGTGAAAACATAGATTTACAAGGTAAAAATGGGAGTAAAGGTCTGTAATCCAATCTGGGGGTTCAGATAATGCACACGAACCAAGTGGGTGAAACACTCATGATTTGTGGTACCTTTTGAACTTCTTAATTGGATCACTGTCTTGTAATTCACTTACAAGTGTCCATTATCCTATTATGTTATTGTTTTATTTTTTAATCAAAATGAAAGGTGCCTTGATGCACATTTGCTTCAGAGATGTTGCTTTACAGAGGGCTTCATGTTTTGAATAGGGGTGTCTAACACAAGGCTGATTTAACTTGTTTGATATTCTTGTTTGTATCAAAAGGCAAAACCTACAAATTGAAGCAATGAACAGTAAGGCATCAGATTTTAAAACATTACCTCAAACATGATGGTAATGGAACTCAGTGTTATAAATATTATTAATATCATACAATAATACTTAAAGGTTTATGTGGTAAAGTGATAAAATATGTAAAATGAAACGAAAACAGGAAAGTGGGAACACTTAATCCTTGACCTTTGAGCCAATTGTTGCCCTAGGTCTCGGTGATTTTATTGCTGATAATGTTTATGATCTTCTGTGTGGTTATCTCACTGCATGTATGAATTTATAGAACATCAAGATGAATTATGGATAATGATAATCCTTGCATTGGATTTAGTGCCTTTCACCTCGGGAGGATGTCTCAAAGTGCTTCACATAATTTAATGGAAAATAGTTATTTTGTAGGTGAACTCGGTAGCCAATTTGCACACAGTAATGTCCCATAAACAGCTGCAAAGCAGCTTATTGATTGGGGGATTGTTGGCCAACATACTGGGGAGAAACACTTTAGAGAAACTCCCTTCTCTGAATGCATTTCTTTGAGCTGCAAGAATGCACATGTCACAAAATTAGGAATCTTAGTAGATTCACAAGATTTACAAGACAAATTTGGGTGTAGAAGGTCCTTCGACCCATCCAATCTCATACTTCCAGACCATCCACTCTAACAGTTCCCCACCCCACTTTGCCCAATGCAGCATCAAGCTCTTTTTAAATGAGTCCAGTGTCCTGGCCTCAACCATCTTTCCTGCCAACCAGTTCCAGTTGTTCTCTAAGGACCCTGTAAGGAAAGAAAAAAAACATTCCTCGAATAATCCTCCAGAGAGGAGTATTATCATTGCTCCAATAGATGACAGACCAGTTTCATATAATTTAACCTCTTCCATTTTCATTTCCTAAATATTAGAACAAACGTTCCACTTATTTGATTGATTTCATTCTATGTGAGGTTTCACGTCCATGCAGGTTTTACACGATGCATTTTTTTGGCTTATCGCCTTGGTAATGACAGCGCCAAACAAATGTCACCAAAATGATTGTGTGTAAGTAAAAGGGAATACTTATGAATTCCATGGATATTAATGCAGCTTCATTTGGTGCCACATTCATTGTTTTTCTGGTGTAAAGATTCATTTGAGATGAACTTGCGATGAAGGCCATGGTAAGTGTTAACACTTCCTTGATTATTGTTAGATTTGTGGGCTATTTGGATGCTTTCCTGTTTGCAAAAAAGGAATGTGAAACTGCACTCAAGATGTTTATTTTCTCTCACACCCTGAATGCAGTACAGACAGGGATGTTCTGATCCTTTTAGAGCAAATGCAGAAGTTAATGGAATACATGAGACAAAAGGGGCCTGGTGATGGAACGAACGAATGTCCACATAGAGAGTGGTTTACCTCTCATCTGGTGATAAGCCTGGTTTATCTTGGTCGTTTGTAAAGCAAGTTACCTGTTATGTACTGGCATTTATCAAGATCATTTAACTACACAGGTCATTCACAGAAAAGGTACTTTATCTTGATAAGGGATCAGTATGAATTATGGTTTGCTGCTAGGTAGAAAATTGTACTTTCTAGATACCTTTTTTGTTATAAATCACCCAGTCATATTGCTTGGCTCTCCCACACAAACCTGCTGAGACCAGTTTTTCTGTCACAACCCTGCACCATTCTCTTGCTTCCTTGGACAACTTTCAACTACTGCAGCTAATGATAAGTAGACCATTATTTTAAAGATCTTACATCAGCAGCTCACCGCTGAATATAATGAAGCGCTTGTGTTGGACGCGAGAGCACTTTGGGCTTCCTATTCAGTATCAGAAGGAAGCTTACACAGTTCACATCTACTGCCTTGCCTTCTTTTTTCAGGGCCTTTTTAAACTGCCAATATAGAAACCATTGCTTGATTTCATTTCAACATGCAAAGTTGAACTGAAATTTTCAAGAATATGGTGGAAGAGAAGGAAAATACATTGGGGGAGGTGGTGGGGGAGGGGTGTGGGGTCAATTTGTGATGTGATGTGTCACATATAATGTTTCGCATTTTACCCCAAGTTGCTGCAAACCTATTGACAAATTTATTTGTAGGAAGGAGTGATACTTAATTGAATCTCAAATAAAACTTGACCTGCATTGGAACCCGGTTATCAAGACCTCTGTGACCTGCTAACTCCAATATAGACCTGTCTGCTCCTTCCCCTCAGCAGGCTCCAGCCTGCTCCAAATCCCTGACTGTTCTCCCGATGTGAAAGGAGCTATACAGATGTAATTTGTTGATGTTGCTGTTACAGCTCATGTATTCTTGTTGTCTGGTGGAAGTGTATGTGTGCATCTAAGTTCTGGTGACTGAAATACTTCTATGGCTTCAACTTTGGGAAGTTTGGTATTTTGTCTCCTTGCGAAACAAACCTTGAATAACCTCCCTCCTTAAGGAGGACAGTGAACATGAAATGCACATTGTTTTAAGTTACTGTGACAACCAGGACCTTTGAGGTTTATGACATACTTTGGCACTGGAAGAACGTAACATGCCTGCGAATATGCTAACATTAAAGTTAGATATCATGATCAGCTTGTTATGATGTGTGTTTGCTGTGTATGGTTGCTATTAATGGAAATTGTGTTTAAATGTTTTTTTAAAAGAAAGACAGTTAGTTATTTCATGTCCACAAAAGCTCTAATTCTGCTATTCCAGGTGGTGGAGTGAATTAAATTGGATGGCATTGTTGATGGGATGAATACAATGCTCTCATGTGATTACAGTTGTGACTTAATACTTATTGGTCCGAGCAGGACAATGTGAAGCCCCAGTGTCATACGTTAGGGTAGAGACTTTTGAGCCTTTAGCCTTTTTGATTCAGGTAATATAATAATAACCCTTGCATTTGATATACGACTTATCACATCTTCAAGACGTCTCAAAGCGCTTCACAGAATATACTGTAAAGTGAATTCACTGTATATTTGTGGGCAAAACCAGCAGCCAATTGAGCACAGCAGCGTCCCACAAACAGTCATGGATTGAATGACCAAATTACTATTTTTTTTAAGGATTATTATCCCTGGAAAAGCGATCCGCCAATCGCTTAACAACCGGGTTCCTACTTACTGCTAGGTAAACAGAGGCATTAGAGCACATGTATACTTGTATTTGCCAGTCAGTGAACAGTCTTACTTTGTGCTCAAATAAGGAAGGAGGTTGAGATTTATTAGCAATTACTAAAGTACATTTTGGCATCCTGATGGCTAAAGTACATGAGCTAAATACACAATAAAGAAAAGTCGCTCTATGCCTAAAAACAAACAATAAATTACTCATTAGGAGAAAAACAATGCAGCAACAAAATTAACAAATTAAATCTGATTTAAAAGTCAAATCATAATAGCTGTGGGAGAATAGTAACAATGCATCATAAAAGAATGAATTGGAATAAATAGATTGGAATAAAGAAAGGCATATCTTGAGGGACGTGCTTTTGGATGGAACAAGGATTGATGTAGACAACTTGGCAATGAGGAGCAAGAATGAGAGATACCATTAATTCAAAAGGGGGTTAAAAAAAAGACCTGTGAACCAAAATATTGTAGATCAAATCAGTGATCTTGATAGAGGTCATCTGAAAACATTTCAAGTGCTTTTTTGAGAAGGAACTCAACAGACGAGGTCTGTCTTTCAGTTATAACAGAAGGAATGGGAGGGCAGTGTTATAATTGGGGTCTACTGATAGCAAAGTATGCAGAGACATGAGTGAGGATTCTATGGCATAAATAAGCATCAAAGATGTACAGATCATGCAGTCGACCTGACTCTCCTGGAGTTGGATTCCCATAAGGGTAATTTGATTAACTTACAGAACTGAGATTCTATTGGTATTATGATTAGATGCTGGCAGAGCGTAGAAAAAGAGAGAGAGATGGAATCTGATTCTATTAGTCACTGTCCGTACAATATGAATCCATT